TATATATATATATATATATATATATATATATAAAAACACTGTGCAAACCAGTAAATTGTTATATTCAAACCAGTAACAGCTAATGGGTTTTCCAGGTAATGTTTTAGTAATGTTAATTTGATGGAAAACTCTATTGTTTCTAACGTATTAGGCTTTGTGAGCGTCTGTGTTGAGAGCTCAATATTTTCTAGTAAAGCGTTATTAAACACAATCAACAGGTGTTTAAGTTGAATATTTTATAAAGTGTCAGTATTTTACAGTGTGATAACCCACACTGCAAAAACTATCAAATCTTACCAAGTATTTTTCTAGTTTCTAAGGATCTTAATACATTTGAAATAAGACAAAACTAACTTAGAAGTAACTTTTCAGCAAGATGTACATAGCTTATTCTAAGTCAATAATTCCTTAATATTGATTTTAAAAAGTATGGCAAATTATGGGAAAAATGTCTGTAAAAACTGAAATATTTTTTTCTTTTTTTCAATCAGTAGTAAGTAAGATCCTACTTAAAACAAAGTCCCATGTTTTGCTGAAAAGTTACTTTTGTCTTATTTCAAAACATTTCCATCGGAATAATTGTGCTTTACCAGACTAAAAAACACTTGATAGGAGTTTGTGTTTTTGCAGTGCAAAAAGCTGCACATTTAATTGAACAATAATGACATTCTGATGTAGATTCTGTAATTATTTTTTTATATACAGCTTTAGAAAGTAAACAAGCAACAGCTGGTGTGACGTGTTTATGATGCAGCATGAAAAATGAAAACCTCTTACCAGCTGCACGCAGCACAGCAGGACCAGCATGCATCTTCCGGAGCAGCAGCCCATCTTCCTCCGCTCCGATCAGCCTGACGATGGAGAGAGAGAACAATGGCGGATTTCCAGTTGTCCTCAGGCACAAGCGCGTTGCTTTCTGAATGGTAATTCCATGACCAGACGCATACAGTGCGGCTCAGCCTCTGGAGGAAAACACGGGAGGCTGTCCCTGCATGGAGCAGGGGGAGGGGAGGTATGGCGGGTGATTCATGCCCCGGTGGGGGGAACCTCAACATATTCTGTAGTGGACTTACAGAATATATTAATCAGAGTTGGGTGGTAACTACACTGAACAAAAATATAAACGCCCCATGTCAAATATTGTTGCCATGTGCAGTTAGCAACTGTAAATGAGCATTTTATTGTACAAAAGTAGTATTTCTCTTGATTTATGTGTAATTTTTAATCCAACTTGCTGACAGTGAGCCTTACTCAGTGAGTTGTTTTTTTACTCAGTGCATGTTTGGGGCCTGTCCAGAGGGTGAACAGACAAAATGAGCAACAGCTGGACAATCCTTGGACTGGGGACAATAAAAGGCCCCAAAATGTCAAAATTTCTCACAAGTCATAAAACCTCAGATGTCGCAAGTTATGCAGGAGCCATTGGGATGTTGGATGCAGGGATGTCCAGCAGAGCAGTAGCTGCATGGCTCAGTGTCCATTATTGGACCATAGGCATTTTAAGAGATTTGTTTCCAATAGACTGGCACCACTGCAAGTCGAGCTCATCCTCGTCAGCTATGTGTGACTACTGCAGCACAAGATCGCCACATCTGACTCGTCCATCGGCTGAGACCAGCGACACACAGCTGATGAGACTATTGGTCTGCACAACAGATGCATCACGCCTCAGACTGTCCGTAAATGTAATGTGTTTGATGCAATCTTACATAGAAACTGTTTACTTTGAATAATTAAGTGAGCTTACTGTTTACCCATCTGTTTTTACTGTTTTTACCCATCAGACATAGCCATATGTCTGATGGCTGCTGAGAGGTCAGCTTGACCTTGTCTATTTTTGTTTTTAACTTTTAAACAAGGAATTAGTCAAATATAAGTGACTATGTATTTTTAAGTGAAACATTGTTTTTATCTGGGGAATATATTGTTAAATGCTTCATTGTTTTCTACAGTAAAGATTTTATTCTATTCTACTCTGTACATGGTTCTCTTGTGACGTCAAACTTCCAGGAACTTTGAAGCTGACGGCCATCTTGGTAAGTATCTTTAACTAACTAATGGCAGTTGCTATGGAGTTGCTATGACAACAATAAACAAGCCACAAGCTTAGGACTAGCTCTCACCTCCTTCCTATCTAACTTACAGAAAAATATGAGTACATACATATAAGTGCAGTTTGTGTCATATACTGTCATTTTGTTGGTTTCACCTTTGCTTTGCACTTGCCTACTAAGATGGCGGTTCAGTGGCGCAGATCACTTCCAGTTAAAAAAATACCTCCCTGTTGTTGAGCTACATTTGATGGGCACTGCACCTTTACCTAGCAACCCAAGAGGAGATCCAGCACATTTGGTCAGCTGGTTTTACCACTGCATGTACTGTACAATGGCTACTGGAAAGGACAAGAGTCTTGTTTTTTTCTTGCCATAAAGAAACAACATGTTACATTCTTGTTGGGTGTGGAGAAGGCTCTACTAATGCTTCTCAAAGATGTACGGTTGTATAATTGCGCATTTATTTCCAGCCATTTTCATGTGCGAGTGTAAACGTTGAGTTGGGGGAGCATAGCAGCAGCAGTCTATTTAGATTTAAAGTGACAAAACAAAGTATCTTATTCTGAAAGCAGCTATAAATAAACCTGGCCAGACTAAAATCTCAATGATTTTATGAAAAAAAATGTGATGAACGTATTTTGTGTAGCCAATAAATCTGTCCTAGCCTGTTCAGGGAAGCACAGTAGTTCACCTTTAAATAGATGTGGAGATGTATATGCATGCAGTACACATAAGTAAGTGCTTTCTTGGCAGGACACTGGATTTCAGACCTTCAAAAGACCTCTCTGTTTGTTTCTGAGCGCGGCATGGATCGGCCCTCATACAGCAACACCATCCGCTGCCTTCTGATAGGTGGCTCCTCATCCTCAGTGCTCTGAAGACTCCAGCAGGTGGGGACAGTGGTGGAGCAGAAAGCTTCAAAGGTGTTAAAAAACCAAACTAGACCAAAAGAAACACACCTTAGGTCACAAACAAACTGTGAGGGTTTTCTGGTGACACAGGATTTGAGTTTCAGTGTGCAGGAGTCAAAGTAGTCAAACTTCACTGTTAATTAAATATTCATTATACTTTTAATTCATTTTGGACTCTGTGCTTTCACTTTTCTGCTTCCAACCAAATATTTTAATAATAAATAGCAATATTTCAGGTGTTTTGATTGATATTTAGCTGCAAACCTTTCTGTATTTCAGTCTAAATTACTCCAGAGCAACAACATTAAAGGGAACCTATTATTCTTCCCTCCCTTTTAAACAAATTAGGATAAGTCTATGTGTTATACAAAATATGTTCATTTCATAAAATTATTATTAGAAAAATAAATTTCACCTGCTTAGCTTTTCTATTTTTAGCTCCTTTCAAAATTTAGGGCTCTGTCACTTTTATGCAAATAAGCTGGTGCTGGCCACGCCCCCAACTCGGTGTTTACACTCGCACATTTAAACGTGAAAATGGCTGCAAATAGATGAGCAGTATTACAACCGTACATCTTTGAAAAGCATTCATAGAGCCTCCTGTATAACCAACGATAATCCAGCAGGTGGTTTTTGGATGGAAAGTCAACAACAAAACACTTGTATTTTCAAGCAGCCATTGTACACTGTGAAAGTCTCTAATTAACAGTAAATTTTACTGTATAAATACTGTAAAATTTTGGCAACCACAGCGGCTGGCATTTTAGAGTAAATTAGAGACTTTTTTTTTTACAGTGTACAGCTCATACAGGGTAAAACCAGCTGACCAAACGTGCTGGAATTCAGCTGGGGTTGCTAGGTAACGGGGCAATGCCCTGGAATGTGACTCAACAATCAGGAGGATTTGGAAACAGCTTATTGTCCAGCCATAAAACATGAATTTATTGCCAAAACCTGGATGTGTTTCTTTTTTTTTCTTTTCTTTTTTTTTTTTTTTTTTTTGATTGTTTTTTTTAAGCTTGGGCTGTTTTTAGAAGCAGTTGAGACCCTATTGGAAAAACAAAAACGTGAAAAAATTAAAATTGTTTAGAATAAATCCCCTTAGAGTGTAAAATTAACATATTTTGTAGAGTTTTGGCATAACCGATGTTCTGAGTGAGTTGTTCTTTCAGCATGTTTTTGAGTCCAGTTTACGATTAATCCACTGATAAGTAATAATCGTTTCAACCCTACTTCAAATAATCTGAACATTCCCCTTCCAACCCATTCATTAGTCCTCTAATTGCACTTCCCCATCTACCCGGGAGGGGGCGCTGGAAACGAAAAGCCAGGTTAATAATTGGGGGGTCTCCAGCTCTGCCTGTGTCACATGGAAGCGCGGTAGCCGAGCTGAGGGGATGCGAGCCGAGATGGAGGGGGCTTAAGGGACCGAGGAGCTGAAACCTGGCAGTCGGAGATAATTTTGGAGTCGCATCATCATCATCATCAGCAGCAGCAGCAGCATCAGATAAGGATAAGGATAAAGGGGGGGACGCGGACGCGCAGGTTGAGCTCTTCCCAGCCTCCCCTCTTGGCTGGGGGTGCGCGGACAGGATGCCACATGAAGTGCGCTGCATCCCCGCTCTGTGAAGCCCGTGAAGAAGGTCTGGCGGTGATTATGCTCGCAGGGAGCTTGAGTCAGTCCGAGGGGAAGCAGAAACTGAAGGAAGCGACCGGAGCCGATGCTGCGCCTCTCCAAACCTCTGAGCTGAGTGAGTACGGGGGGCTGCTATAGCGCAAAGCAGAGTGTGACAGGCTGGAGGGAGGAGGAGGAGGAGGAGGAAGAGCAGAGGAGGGGGGTGGGGGGGTCATTCATGTACATATAGATTCAGCTCGATAAGCATCTTTTATTCTTCTAGGAAATGTAAGCTGCGTCTCTTTGTGTTTCCTTCATCCAACACAAACACACGTGCGCAGCCGCCTCAGCATCGCCGCATCGCCTCTTTATTTTGGGTTTTAACGCGCATTCATCTCAGAACTTCATTGTGTTTTAATGAGAAGGAGGCGATCTGGTGATCTTTCTCTCTCTCTCTCTCTCTCTCTCTCTGTGTGTTTGAATGTGGAGCAAATAAAGATCATTAACGTTGGACCCTCCTTTAGCGTTCCTCCCCTCACCCCCATCGTGGCTGATTAATAGGGAGTGTGGAGGGGAATCTGGCTTTGTCGCGTTAGTTACCAGCTGACCTCGGGGACACAGCATCCTCACTTTGATCTGGAAATTAATCGGAAACGCTTTGATGATTAAAGGAGGCAGAAAAGGGAACCGGGCTGCAGGCTCAGTGAAGCAAAACCCTGAAAATAAGCACTGCATCATAATGGATTTTCTTTTTTTTTTTTAAGCTTCTACCTGCACCCAGAGACAAGAAAAAAATAAAATCCCCTTGCATGGAGGTCGGTGTCAGTCGACATCAGTGGAGTGCTGGTTTGTAACCTGTTGTCAGCAGCATTGCTGCAGCTTGAGCCCAGAGGCGCGGCGAGCCGGCCAGCCAGCAGGCTGAGTGTGATTGATGCCTGCTGAGCTGTTACCATCATGAGCTAGCCTCCCTGGACACGCACACATAGAAAAGCCCTTCATGCGTGAATATCTTTATTTTAGCAAATGAAGAAAAAAGGAAAACACACACTGAGCAGGGGCGCTGGTAGGACACAAGTTCTGACTGAAAATAGGGTTAAAATTTCCAGCTGACTGAGTGCTTTCACACCTGATTGTCTGTTGATTGGTGATAAAGACTGCAACATTTATTACATGTTTTACATGTTCAGATGCTTTGTTTTGCCTCCACGCTGAAACGTCTGTTCCCCTCCTCGCCTGTGGTGACGCTGCAGCAAAAACCTGAAGGAAAGGCACAAAAATCTAAACACCATAAAAAAAATGGAGTAGCATCAGATTTTAGTGGTTGTAGGATTTCTTGTTTGTCTTTGGTAAAAGAAAAAGGAACACAAGCCATTTCTCCCGCTAGAAGTAGATATGCGTGTTTGTTTTGGTTGCATTTACCCAGAATGCCCTGCGCTGTAGTCCACTTCCTGCTTTTGGAGCTTTCTCTGGTCTTCATCCATCCACATATCCATTTGAACCAGCAACAGAGTTCATTTAACCAAACCGAGACCTATTGGTGTTTTCATAACTTAGTCTGGTACACTCAGTTGGATTGAAAATCAAATTTGCAACATTTTGATCCACTGTGGTTCACTTTCACACGGCACTGTGTCAAACAAACCGAATTAATTGTAAAACCTGTTCCCCACTCCCCCTGTGGTGGCGCTGCATCAAGAACTACTGAAGGAAATTATATGAAAACCTCTGAAGACGACATCTGAGGTTCTTCATGAAGAAATGCAACTTCCTTCTTCACGAAATCTAAACAAAAATGGAGTAGTGTCAGATTTTAGTGGTTGTATAATTTGTCTTTTGTCTTTATTAAAAGAGTGACCAATTTCTCAATTAACCAATTAGCAGTTGCTTCCTGCTTTTGGTGTGGTTTCCGGTTCACTTGGCGTTCACATATGCATTTGAACCACAACAGAGTTCACTTCAACTGAACTGAGGTTTTAAGATGGACCAGTTTGCACTTTTGGTCCGCATCAATGTTTGATCAGACCTCCTCAAGCAAACCCGAGTTTCTAGATTAACAAACTAGACTTTGATTATACAATCAGAGACAACATTCTTTGCTGATATCAATAGTTTAGCTTAAATATCTTCTCCTCCCAACATTTCGGACCTTGAAGCTGACGGACTACAGCAGCAGAAGACCACACCCAGATCCAGGCTCATCAACACTGGACATCAACAGATTGGAAAAATCTTTTCTTGTTGGTTGAGTCTCAATTTTAGATGCAACATTCAGATGCTGGAGTTAGAATTTGCAGTAAATAACATGAAAACATGAATCCATCCTGCTTTGGACTTTGAGGGGATTCCTTTGTGCATTGCAAGGAGCCGTACAGAGCTGACTGTGAGAACTAGCGTCACAGCTAACATGACTATGAGTCCACAATAGACTCATGTTAATAACGTTTCTGTCAATATGCCAAAGTTAGCTATAAGTCTGTTGTATTTCGCAAAACTTCAATGGGAGCACTTTTTTGCATCACAAAAAAGTGACAAAAGTCATGTGATCAACAGCAGGATGTTACTACTGGCAGAAACGTAGAAGAACACGACAGGAAGTAGTAGCAGCATCATGGCATGTCTTGCTTTTTAATGACTTTTTGCCTCAAAAACTTATTCAAATGTGATTTTAATTGGGTTTTTTATTTAATGGAAACAACGCAATTACAAAATTGCCTTTTTTCAACATTAGCAGAATATCAACAAATTTTTGCACACATTTGTAATGAAAATGCAGTTACTGATTTACAACAACTTATATATAGCTGTGTTTCTATTAATTGCACAATTTGACATTTTGAAAATAAATTTTCTTACTGGGAACTCGGCGAAAAAAACTCACGATTTTTGATTTAAAAAAATTTCCACTATGATGAGTTGGTTTTTTGCCAGTATCAAAATTGGTTTAAATCGTAAAACTTCAATGGAAACACTTTTTTTGCATCACACCAGTCATGTAACGAGCAGTCAGATGTTAACAGTGGCAGAAACGATGAAGACGACAGGAAGTAGAAGGAGGATGGTTTGTTTTCGTTTCTTCTGACAGCTGCTCCAGAGCTCTCCCAGCATCACACGGTTCATAAAGAAGTTGAACATTATGAATCCATAGCTCTTCTGTTAAATCGACAAATCGCTGCATACGTAGCTGCTCCCTAGTAGGCGGGGCTTGTCGCTCCAGTGCCTGAGAAAGATGCTGACGTCTCGTTGAATAATGAGTATATCTCATGTAACTGTTTACATCCATCACTGGTGTGATTTTTATTGACTTATTCTATGAGCAAGCTTATTCACGTGTAATTTTAATTTATCTCTACTTTAATGGAAACATTGAAATTACAAAATTTTATTTTTCCAACATTAGCAGAACATAGACAAAGATTTTGCACACATTTGTAATGGAAACCCAGCTACTCACACATTGTTTTATAGGTGACAAACTAAAGTCTGAGGCGAGTTTAATTGATTTTGTGGAAAAGTCTGAGCAGTAGCTTTAATATTTGAGCCGCTGTATTTGTGTCGGTGGTGTTTGCTGGAGAGGCAGCGCTGTAAACACCAGACCCGAGTTGCACATGCAGGCTTCAGCCTTCTTCCTCACAGGGGCATGGTTAATCTTTGCAAGCAAACATTTGACCTAATTCACATTCTCACACAATAGCATCCTCCCCTCTCTCTCTCTCGCTCGCTCTCCCTTCCTCCCCCTAACACACACACACACACACACACACACACTTAACCATGTCGCTGTTATTTGTGTCACTCGGAGGGTGAGGATTTCGCTCCACATCAACTCCCAGGTGGTTTATGAAAACCTGGGCAGATTGGCGGAGCCGGGCCCCCTGTTTCCAAACCGGCTCTGGTTTTATTAATAATGAAAACACATGTAAACGCAGAACATGTTCCTAGAAAATTAAACTCCCGCTGACTGCTACCAGGGCTAAACGCGTTCCTCAAAGTGCCTTTTCCACAAGGATTACACCTTAAACGCTTGTCTGCCTCCAAGGCCTCGCCCGGCATTCTGAACAAAACCATAAACATTCAGCTAAAGGAGATTATGGCGACCTTTAAATGTGATATGAAATGTGTGTAGTCAAGCAAATGTGCTGTCTGGCGAGCTTCAGACTTCCTCCCAAGGCGTTTAGAGGATGAAACGGATCCAAGTCAACAGGTGAGCTGGAACAAACAGCTACCTTTATGATTAATTTATTCATTTCCATAAACAGGAGATAAATACCCAGAAAGCTTCATGGTTAGTTTTGACTGACTTTCAATTAAAGAAATACAGAAATTCAACTTTGTGTGATTTAAGATGGGAAACATGTTTAACTACCTGATTGTAAATCTTTCCTTGAATCATAACGCTTTCAGTTTTTCACATTTTGTCATGTTACAGCCACAAAAAACAAACAAAAAAACATGAAGTAAGTGGAAGAGAATTATACATGGCTTTATACATTTTCTTCACAAAATAAAATATGAAAAACCCGATTTATTTGTTATAAGTTCACTGAGTCAATTTGTTCTGTAATTATTTTTAGTAAAATTGTAGCTGCAAACCTTTTGTTTACCAGATTTGATTATTAAACTATAATTTTTGTCTGGGTTTTTTTTTTTGTTTTTTTTTTAAATAAAAGTCAGATTGGAGGAGCACAAATTCTCAGTTACATTATGATCCTCAACATTTTAACAATCAATTAATAAAAATGTACCAATTAACTGTAAATATGTTAAACATTTTTAATTTAGATGCGTTTAGTTAAGTTATATTCAGAATTTTTTATGCAAAATGTATCAACATTTTTAAGTGGTGTGTGAGTAAAAACTAAACAAAGGCTGTTTTTACCGTTTTGTTTTTTAACAACACAAATAATTAATGAGGCCCAACACAGATTTAGTCTTTTTCAGCCTCTAACTCGATTTCTCCCAGATTATTTAGCTCCATCCATCACTTCTCTCCAGCTTCTCTGTTCCTGCTAAAGCAGCACATCCCTGCAGCATGATGCTGCCACCACCATGCGGGGATGTTGTGTTAGTTTAGTGTTTTGCTGCATCTCATTTATGGCTTGTGGAGATAATTTATGGAAAACTTCCAGACAGTTTTCCGTAAATTCCTGGTTTGTGGGAACAGAGCTAACAATTTATTATCCTGTTATGAATCTCTGCATCCCCTCCAGAGTTACCACAAACCTGTCGTCTGATTCCTTTAAACCCATGTGCTTAACAAAAATACAAAAAAACACCCTGACATTTTTTGGCATTAAGTTAATGTTTTTTGGTGTCTGAAAAATGAGCCGTTTCAAGAATTTCCCAGTTGTTGAGTTACGTTCCAGGGGAACTGCGCTGTTACCTAGCAACCCCAGTCAAGCCCAGCCCGTTACCTAGCAACCATGCTGAATTCCAGCACATTTGGTCAGCTGGTTTTACTGCTGTACAATGGCTGCTGGAAAAGACAAGTGTCTTGTTCTTAACTTACCATTCAGAAAGCACTTAATGGATCCTTGTTGGTTGTGGAGGAGGCTCCACTAATGCTGTTCAAAGATGTATGGTTGGACAATTGCACGTCTGTTTACAGCCATTTTCATGTGCGAAAGTGGAGTTGGGGGCGTGGCCAGCAGCATATTTTGTTTAGATTTAAAGTGACAAAACGCCCTAAAACATTTCAAAACAAACTGAATAGAGCAAACTAATATCTGATTATCTAAAAATGATTTTGAACATGTCCTGTAATGCTCGTAGATCCATCCCAATCTGTTCGAGGAAACGTTACAGGTCACTTCTAGGGTTTACAATTACAAGCATAATCTTTCATTTTCAGATGAAAGATTATGATGACTAAAGATTTAACTTTAGTCATTCAGATACAGTTTTTTAAACTTCACCTTTGACCTTTCTGCTGTGGTTTTCAGTCTTCATAAAGCTTCTTGTTCTCTGATATTTTCTAACAAACCTCTGGCGCCGTCACAGAACAGCTGGATTTATATTCAGATTAAATGACGCACAGTTTCAGGCGACCTTTGAAAATTAGACTGAACTTATTTAATTCAGGTTTATCAGGAAAAAAACGGGGAGAGGAAAAGAAATGTTCTACAGGGAAAGGGGAAAAGATTGGGAAAGAAAATGGAAATGATGGAAAAGAAAGAAAAGGGAAAAAGTGAGAATGGGAAGTAAGGAAAGGAAATTATTAAAGGAAAAGAATCAAGGCAGTAAAGTAAGTTAAAGGGAAGGAATAAAGTAAGGGAATGGAGTCCTCTTTGGGAAATGTGACATCTCGTTCTCATCATCTTCAAACACCTGCCACACGACGCCTACACATGTCTTCCTTCCTCCCGTCTTCTTTCTTTTCCTCCACACCTCCACCTTCCCCCTTTCTTCTCTCTCATTACCCTCTCTGTCTCCACCACTCAGCTCTGTTGTCAAATGAGCAAAGATACAATTATCCTGACACGGTCGAGAAAAGATGCATATTGTTCTTTAAATCCAGCCGGATATTTCAGACTT